AATTGAAATATGTTAGCATTGATGGATCATAACATTGTATCTTCTTGTCTTCTCCCTTACAAACTGAATATTGTGATATTTAATTGACACATAGATTGAAATATATATCCCCTAGGTGCTTGGGTATAATATACCAAGGTTTTATTTACTGCGTTTCCTTTGGTGGCATTCGTAATGCAGGCTTCACATCCTTCTGTTTTTGTTGCTCTCCTATATCGTTCTCTAGAAAGGGAAAGATAGATAACCATGGACAAATATACAACACTAAGGATTTGCATTTTAGTCATTCTCGTTGTTCGTCCTGGACTAGTTATCTTTTAAAGTATATAGTATATTCCTCAAAAGGTTTCAATTTCCAGAATGTTCTTCACATCTGGTACATCTTACACAGTCAATACAATGGAAACAGCAACAACAATCAGCATGGCATTTACAGTCACAGTACCAACACATCAGGTAAAAGATCAAGTTCTTGAATCTCTCGAGGCTGTTGGGATTTTGGGCACAATATGGATGTGAATTCGTTCCTGGTTTGGCACGCAATCACAACTCCTATAAGACAAAGAAAAATAGCAAACCCTAATCCCACCCAGTCATATAGTTCTGGTTTGGACATTCGGTTACTGTCGCTTGAGAGTGATCTTTAAAGGTTCTGGATTTGGAACACAGGTCCACTGTTCTTTTGGTTCAGCTACTGGTCCCTTCACTTGTGTGTAATGGGTCCACCCTTTTTCTTTCGTCCAGACTACGGTTTCAGAGGTCAGCAACACTGGAATGGTCCTTCCCACTTAGGTTGCAGTTTTTCCTCCTTCCACATTTGGATCAGGATCCACTGTCCCACCTCAAACTTGTGGACAGGAAATTTCAAAGGGGGGTGTTTGGATCAGCAAGCCTTGTTTCCTGAGATAAGACAAAGCAGAAAACAGCCCCAGTATCTAATTCTTTATAAACATGTCATTAGTTTTCATATTGTGGAATTTCCCACTTGAGATAATTTAAAATCAACTTGAATGCATTGAAATAGCCTCACCATTAGATGTTATAGAGCATTTTATGTATTTGTCTACATATCATATAACCAACCATATATTAACCATAGAAAAGTACAGTATCAATTATCCCTCCCCTAGCTATTCCTTTTGTCCGTATTTACAAACACATTGCTTAGTAAAGAGCCAACAAAGGAGCGCTCACCAAACCCTGCTTGAGTTTGTTTGCATACAAATCTTTATTCAAAACAACATAGCTCATTTATAAACCCAAAATTTTTCTCAACTCCTTCATTTTAAACAAGGGTTGAATTACAATTCCTTCAATTTTCTTAGATATTATGTTTTTATCAGTGTGTCCTGCACACAGACATAAAAACATAAAAAATAAAACATCAACAGTATAGATGTATTCAAGTTCTTCTCATATTTCATTACTATAAGAATGGGTATTAAATTTCACATCCACCCCACCTTCCTCCCAAAGCAGAATTCCAAGTGGAGAAAAAAAAGTTAAAATGAGCAGCCCCCCCCCCTTTCTTTCTGTCTCTCACTCTTAAAGCAACACAGCCAGCTGAAAACGAAAGAGGGGGGGATAGCTTTCTTTCCTTCACATGAATTTGCCATAAATTCTCTCACACATTCTCCATGGAACTCTTCTCATGCAAACACTTGCTAAAACAATAAAATCTGCAGTTTAGATGGGGGAGAAACTCACTCTCTCACACACACAAACACAGAGAGAGAGAGACAGGATCAGCATATCCACACATTCACTTCCATTCAAACTGCTTGTATAAACATTTTCACATAGAGATATTTCATTTCATACTTTCTCTTGACAAATCAATAACTATTATTATAATTTCAAGGAGCTGTTCAAAAGCCAATGAGCTCCTTTCCCTCCCCTAGTAAAAACTATTCTCTTCTTCCCACACTGAGTAAACTTGCTGTTCTCTCTCGTGTTTAGGGCAATCTTTTTTAAAAGTGGCCCTTCATTCCACATCCAAAGCACGTTCTTTCCCTATTCTGGTATCCACCCTGAAATCCTCCAAATCCCCTTCCTCTACTCCCATTAACATACTGGTTCCTTTCATCCCTCCTATATCTTGTCTCAAAGAGACTCTTCTTATCCCCAAACTCTCTTCTAGGAGGTTTTTCCTGCTTCATCACTTGCTGTATTGTTGCTACCATCATCTTACTTTCTGCCTTACTTTCTCTGTATCCCTCTGAACATACATTTTCCTCCTTCTCTGGCTGTTGTTGGGGCCAGGTTCCAATTCCTCCCACCAAACAAAGCAACACAAATTCACCACATCTTCTTTAATCAAATTTAATCTATCAATTATCTTATTATAAGGCAATTTATCCCAATTACTTAGGAGGAGTCCTAAAGGACTCCCTGTATCTATGCTCAACCTAGGATTCTTCCTAGTTTTCTTCACACATTTCCTTCTGGGAACACTCCGAGAATTGCCCATACTGGTTTGCCGTACTGTTATCCTTACCAACCTAATGAGACCAACTTTCGCTTCACCAAGCTCCTGCTTCTCCCTTTTTCTCCACCAATCCTCTCATGAGGGTATGGCAAAAAGGGTCAGCTCCCACACCGTCTTACTTGGGACGTCTAATGCACTCCTCTCACAGATCTCAGATTCAAACAGTCCTACCCAGTCCTCCCCCACCGCCTAGGTGGTTTTCATCTGGCCACCCCAGATATTACTCACCTAGGTCTGTGCACGAAGTTACCCGGTTTTTCCTGAGGCCGGCAAATCTCTATTCCTGGTTCCCTCACCCTTTGTTTCTATTTGCAACTTCTATTTAGGTTCGTAGGGCTCTAGGGTTCATTCAGCACCCACCTCTCCTGGAGTTCGAAGCTGGACTGTCGAACTCGACAGGGCATGCCTTCCACATCGTCCTCCAAGTTAGGGAGTCCCAAATGAAATCCCATTGAGTCCCGGGTTTCGGCACCAAAATTGTTAGACACAAAAATAGTCACAAATTGAAATCCACTCTGAGTTACAAATAGAAAGGAAGTTTATTAGACTTCACATCCAAGTCTAAAAAAAATAATGGTTTGCAAAGCGTGGTGGATTCAGGAAGGCAATGCAATGTAGCCAAGCACTGAACCACACCCCAAATTCCAAAATCACATATTATTATACATCCTATCGCAACGCCCCATTCCCTCCCCCATGGCCCCATTGGCTTAGGCTTTGGAGGTTACAATCTATGAGAAGCGCCTAAACAGAATACATTATACTAATAAGATCCCTCCCCTACTATCCTATATCAATTCTAGAGGAGAGATGTCTCCCATCTTCTACACCTGTTAGATCCAGTAGGAGTACCAGGCACCAGAAGGTACTTAAAAACAATTCCTAGATGGTGACTCACACTGGGCCCCATGGTAACTCCTGTTCTCCCCCCTTCCTCCACCTGAGGCTTGTATGTTCCCTATATACTCAAAGCATCTACTCAGGCAATTGATTATACAATAATAATTATAAAATATAAAATATGATTACATGATAATACTAAAAGTATATTTTTTTATTTTTAAATATTCTCGCTACTTCCAGTTTTTTCCACACTGGCTAATGGTATCTCTTCCTAAACTTCTGTTTGCAACCCACTTGCTGCAGGATGACACTTCATTAACATATCTGAGGGACATGTCTTCAGGATGTCATCTCAATCACATTGCCAGCTTTTTGCCAGCTTTTTGCTGAAGTAGCCAAAAGCATCTTTAGTTGTTCCAATTTGGAAGTAGAGATTTATTTCTTCCCCCACATAGAAAATTTAGGATTCATATCTGAATAATCTAGAATATCCAGAAATGACATGGTCAGAGATTGTGATCTGCTCAGCTCCTTTTGAAGATGTCCCTGATTTCAGAGGCCAGTCTTTTTGACACATGGGAGAAGGCCATCCCAGTACAGATAGTCCTCGACTTACAACAGATCATTTTGTGGCCATTTGAAGCAACAAAGGGACTGAAAAAAGTGACTTTATAAAATAATCATGTATTTTACAAGTGATCAGATCAATCTTTTACTACTGTGTCATGCTTCTTAAGGTTTTTCACACTTTGTAGGGTTATTTGTCCTCATATTGTATAATACAGTAGAGTTGAATATATTCTGCATTCTGAAGCACGTAGTACCAATCCCTTGAAGCTTTTCTACAATTAAAAGCTAAACAAGATCAGCTCTGCTAAGTAGATGAATGTGAAACCACTAGGCTAAACTGAACAGGGAAAGCAAAACAAAATTTAAAAAATAAAAAAACCTAAGAAAATTAAAATAAATCAATGAAATACTGTTTTGTCCTCACTACACATTGCCCTGTGTGTAGTTCAATAGAACAGTAAAACAGCAAGGCTGGGATATAGATTTTTGTCTTCAGAAGAACATATGTCACAGACTAAGCTGGATTCTTCTAGATGTTTCTGTTACCTCAAAATGTTACAAAATGGAGTCTGGCTTCTCAGGATGTAGGGGTACTCAATGGGGTCAAAAATGCTATCAAAAACAGTTCTAATCAATGAAAGGTTTGTCGCTGGCCACTTGGTGGGTGGGGCTCAACACATGCCACACAACAACAGCAAATACAAACTCTATGGTGAAAGCATGACCAAGAACATTTCTCAGTCTATGGCTCCCTAATGGCTCCCAGGGGTTTGATTTGAAGACAGTTTTACCTTTGCATTCCATTATTAACATTTCAAAAATCAGCTTAGCTCTGAATATTTAATAGCATAGAAAAATAATACATGTTGCTGCTGTTGTTGCTGTTGTTTTTTTCTGAAAAAAGGAAGATATTTTTTTCTTATTCCACAAAACCACAAAACCTGAAAGATATTTTTTTCTTATTCCACAAAACCTGTAGAATTTTTTCTAAATATTTTATTTCTCTTCACTGTTTTAGCTATAAACCATCCTCTCACAAAACCGCTCCCCTTAATATTGGGATTTTTTTTGCTGATGCAGATTCATCATCCCCTTTCACCAAACTTTCATTCAAAATAGATATAGAGGACAGACCACCTGGAGTCCCATTTTCCATCTCTATTTTGCTGCCCTTGTGTAAATAAAAAAGTTAAATTGGAACAACCAAATTCCCCCCTTTAGCACCCATTCAATCAAATGTTTATGGTTTTCAATGGCACCATAAACTACTGGTTGTTTTCCTAATGTTGTCTGGTTAAATCAGACAGCTGCTGGGTAACAAACTAATATTTGGAAATTATTATTTCTATGACACCACTTAAAAGAAGAAGGGATAGCCTTCCCTAATTTTCCGTGGGCTTTCCCTCCCTGGGATGCAACAAGAGTTAGCTGAGAGGCAAAGTTTGGAAAGGGAGCAGAGAAGCAGACCGTTCCTCCTAATTAGATAGGAAGCAATCTTTTAAAAAACGAGTGGCTGCCTTTTTAGTCCATCTGTCAAAGAGCAAAGCCTCCAGGCTTGATACTATCTATTTCTTCCTGCAGGAGAAGACCAAGATTAATCCCTGATTGGAAAATGAGGTGGCCACAGGTGGAAAGCAGTTGCATTTCATCCCAGGCCCCACTCTGCATAGTCCAAACTGGTGGGCCTACTTAGACCTATGGTTGGAGGCCTGTTTCTGACTTAAAGCCATCTAAAGTGGTTCAGTTTGCAAAAATCTATCAGCAACCTAGGTCCATGCCTAGACAAATGTATTTGAAATTTGTGTCAGTGTTAAGCATCCTGCTTTGGACAAAATAGCCTAGATATCTATTTTCTCCTAAATGATTGTGCAACATCTACTATTTACAAGTGGTGGGTTTTTTTCCCCTTTCTTGCACAAGGAAATGGTTCAATATGGGGAAGAACTGGTTATTTAGTCATTTTTCTTATTTATAGACTAGTGAGGCCCACAGATGCATAGAATATTGCAGTAATGACCTGAGGGATGCCAGCTATGCACAAGTTGGGCCAAGGGTTTTCTTAAAAATCAAAATGCACAGTACATTTCATTTGTGGCTGTAAACAAGCTTTGTGAATCTGAGGCCAGTGGTTTTGTAAATCTGGTGTAATACTTCTAGGAATTTTATCTACTCACTTAATGATACAATCTGTTGGCAATGTATACTCAATGATTCTTGCCATTTGTGAAAGCATTTTGAATAATTATAATTATAAACCAGAATAATTATGCTGGTGAGGTATTAAGGAGTTTAAAGCATCGGGAATAAATATATTGTGAAATAGAAGGACTGAGCTTCCCTCTCTGATTAAAATAGTTTTCATGTGTTTTGAGGAGAAACATAATTTTTTCCTTACTTTTTCATTTATTTTGAGGAACTTGTAAAGAAAATTAGAGACAGGAGACACAGGAAGGTTATTCCCTCTGTCTTTCCATTCCCCCCCTTAAAGAAATGTTAACAATTTTTTTTATTAGTATGACATGTCTCCCCTCTCCATGAAATTACACTTAAATTATATTTATACAGTAGGTTATTTATTCAAAGAGGACAGATATGATTATTAATGCTGGCCGGGGACAATGGGACTTATAATGGAATACATATGGAAGGGGGTGGCCAGGGGTGTTCTCAGGAGGGGGTTTAAAAAAGGCAAGATGGAAGTTCTGGGTGTTTAGTTGAAACCTTGCTTTTTTATTCTATGCCAGACAAGGTTACATAGCAAGGTGAGAGATGGTGTTGTTCCTGGTGTTAAAATTTGTTCAAGGTTAAAGATTTTTTTTCATGGTGATGGTGGTAAAAAAAATAAGATAAAGAATAAAAATAATAAGAAAACATAGAAAATGCAGAAAAATAATACAATAAAAAATTGAAAATAAAGAAATATAGTAAAGGAAAAAGAAAAAAAACAGATTAAGGAATTTTACCTGTATACCAATCCTTGCAAAGAGTCAGATAGGAGATTGTTTCCTCAAATAATCTGTGGTCAGCTTTGTCTTTCAGAGGAAATATGTAAAATTTATTTATTTATTTATTTGTTTGTTTGTTTGTTTGTTTGTTTATTTATTTATTTATTTATTAACATTTATAGACCGCCTCATTCCCGCAGGACTCCGGGCGGGTAACAATAAAAACACAATATAACTTAACAAGACAAACAATACAGTAACATTCATCCAGGAGTCAGATTTTATAAACCCCAAGCCTGCCGGAAAAGCCAGGTCTTAAGCAGCTTGCGGAAAACCAACAGGGTGGGAGCGGTCCTAATCTCCGGGGGGAGCTGGTTCCAAGACGTGGGCACCATGACAGAGAAAGCCCTCCCCCGCGGCCCCGCCAAATGGCATTGCTTGGCCGACGAGACCTGAAGGAGGCCCAACCTGTGGGATCTAACCAGACGAAGGGAACTATGAGGTAGTAGGCGGTCTCACAAATAGCCTGGCCCTGAGCCATATAGAGCTTTAAAGGTAATAACCAACACCTTGAATTGGACCCAGAGACCAATAGGCAACCAGTGCAGCTCGTGGAGGATAGGTGTAATGTGGGTGTACTGAGGAACACCCAAAATGACAGGCTGGTTAGTGTTGTGTTTGTGCTGTGAGAACTGGTAATGTTATAGGAATCAAGGAAGAGGTGGAATGGAGCTTTGGAAGAAGATGATTAAGTTGGGATCAGGATCCCAGCAAGGAGCTAGTTGGATCAGGAAGAGTTAGCTGGCAAATGTCTGGCTGGTGGAAAAGAGTGAAATGTCTGGGAAGGATAGACCAGGAGTTAACTTTAACCAAGATGCTGGATTTCAAGAAGCTCAAGGAAGGAAGGAAGGAAGGAAGGAAGGAAGGAAGGAAGGAAGGAAGGAAGGAAGGAAAGAAGGAAGGAAGGTTTCATCTTTCATTCTTTTTTTCTAGGCTATAAAAGCAAACTCTGAATATGAGGATAAAAAGGGGATAAAAAGAGAGAACAAATGAAAAAGCAGTGTACAAAAATATATGTCAGTAAATGTGCAATATAATTTGTTCAGTTAGGCTATTGTATGTAATAGAAATCAGTTATTTGCTTCAAAAGCAAACTACAACAATAACAATAATTATAGTTTGGAAAACAACATTTGCACATCTGTAATATAATTTCTCCCTCCTCAAGCAAAAAAGACTGAAGAATGCTGAACATACTGTCAGTTGTCCCCAAACAAATGGGGACCAACTACTATCAATCTAAAAAATAGTTTTGAAGAGTTTCAATGTTTTTTTTTTCTATTATTAATCTATACAGAGCTAGAATGTGGCTGTTTCTGGTAATGGCATGCTTAATCTTGCAGACTGAAAATTCAGAAGGATCTGTAAGGCATTTGAATCCTCAAGAATTCATGACAATTGTAAGTTGCTTATCTGGATGCCTTTGAAAACAGAGCATTGAATTCAAACGCTAAAATCATGCTTACTATTTATTTATTATTTATTTGTTTGTTTATTTGTGTATTTATATTTCATATTTCTAAACTAAATCTTCCTCAAATATTTGCTCTAAGCAGTGTACAATATAGTATAGAGAAATAAAACAACATATTAAAAATAACATTAGAAATTGAAAATGAAATCAGGGTTAAAAATTTCAGAATTATAGAATGACAAACATCAAAAAGGGGGCTATGGCCATTTAGTGTTCATTACAGGCGGGATGGGGCTTTCAAGGGACTAGCCAGCCATACAATTGCAAAGCCACAGAACCAAGTTTTGATCTCTTTGCGGAAAGCTAAGAGATTGGGGGGCACTCCCTCACCTCTTGGAGCAAGATGTTCACAAAAAGGGATCAGCAGCAGAGAAGGCTAACTCTTCATTGAAAAGATGTATGTAAAAATGAAGGAAGAAATACAAAATAAAGTTTAGGACTTACTTATTAAAAAAAAAAAACCCAAGAGAAAAAGACCACTATTGACCTACCTGTTGCAACAAGGAAGACTAGAATGGCATTTTAGTGGGAATATTTTATACTTTGTCAGTTTGCCCTTTGGCATTGCATTGAATACCTAGGAAATGTGTGAAATATTAATTGTTTCATACTTTGATGTCCCATTTTTGGCATTCTATACATCAGAGTTCCCCAACCTGCTGCTTAGTAAGCTAGAAAAAGGAGAGATAGACAACATCATCACCAGATGGATCTGTAGCTGGCTGACAAACCATACTTAGAGAGTAGTCCTCAATAGTACTACATCCACATTGAGAGAAGTACACAGTGGGGTACCACAAGGCTCCATCTTAGGCCAAGTACTCTTTAATATCTTCATAAATGACTTAGATGAGGGAATAGAAGGGAACTCATTAAATTTGCAGATGACACTAAACTGGCAGGAATAGCCAACACTCCAAAAGACACACTCAGGATCCAAAAAGATCTTGACAAACTTGAACAACGGGTCCTATACAACAAAATGAATTTTAATGTGGAGAAAAGCAAAGTTTTAAATTTAGGCAGGAAAAAACCCAGTAACTGTGAGAGGGACCTTGAAGTCCTAGTGGACGATCATTTGACTATGAGCCAGCAGTGTGCAGCAGCAGCCAAAAAAGCTAATACAATCCTGGGTTGTATAAACAGAGATATAGAATCAAGATCACGCAAAGTATTAGTACCGCTTTATAAAATCCTAGTAAGACCACACCTGGAATACTGCAGCCGATTTTGGTCACCATATCACAAATAAGATGTTGAGAGTTTGGAAAAAATTCAAAGAGCAACTAAGATGATCAAAGGCCTGGAGATTAAAACATATGAAGAGTGGCTGCGGGACTTGGGTTTGGCTAGTCTAAAGAAAAGAAGAAATAGGGGAGACCTGATAGCAGTATTCCAGTAATTGAGGGGCTGTGACCAAGAAGAGGAGGTCACATTATTCACCAAAGCACCAGAGGGCAGGACAAGAAACAATGGTTGGAAACTGACCAAAGAGAGAAGCAACCTGGAATTAAGGAGAAACTTCCTAACAGTGAGGACAATTAACCAGTGGAACATCTTGCCTTCAGAAATTGTGGGTACTCCATCACTAGAGGTTTTTAAGAAGAGACTAGACAGTCACTTGTCTGAAATAGTATAGGTTCTCCTGCTTGAGCAGGGGGTGGACTAGAAGACCTCCAATGTCTATTCTATTCTATTCTATTCTATTCTATTCTATTCTATTCTATTCTATTCTATTCTATTCTATTCTATTCTATTCACATATGGTAGGAACTAGAAATCTTCTGGGTTTTTGATGCAATGAACAATAGTGATTATATAACTGATTTTGGCCCAAGTTATAATATTTTATTTGCAGCCTCAAATTATCCAGTACTGGGGATATTCTAGTGAAGAGTATGAAGTCCTGACTGATGATGGCTATTATCTTAAGTTAAACAGAATTCTTTCTAGAAGACTTTTTCTTCATCTGACAGGTATATCTATAAGGTAGCATTTCACAGAGAGAATGTATAAATGTGAAATGATAATTGAAGTAGAAGTGATTAAAACTAATACTTAGTATATTGCTTGCCACATAAACAACACCCAGATTAGCAGCAATTAACAACAGACAAACAGTCAAGCAGAAAACAATACCCTAATTAAGAAATTACCAAGGATAAAATCACACCTCCACTTATACTGCCAGTAATACTGTATATAAACATGGATCAAACCCCGCACTCACTTGCACTGATGGTATTACCTAGCTGGGTAATAAAACATCTACAATCAAACAACTCAGAAATCCACAATACTAAAATATTTTTACAATTTTTGAGAAGTATTAGATAGGCTTGATAGGTATTGATAGATGGTTGGAAAATTACTGTAGATAATTTTCAATTTAGTCTACACCTGTTCTGTCCCACCTTATGTGAGTCCTTGTTATGCTCACAAGGAGAAACCACTCTTCCAAGAAACAGGCAGGAACTGCAAGAAAAACCAACCCCTTTTATTCTCACAAATCTGAGTCAATGTCCAAGGCAAACAAACACAGTTCACAGAAACTCAATCCTCAACATGAATGGTTGCCTTCGGTAACCAGCACCTCCCACACCTTCCGTTTTATAATTCAGCCAAAGCGTGGCTTCCTAATGCCTTCTCCTTTGCCTTTGGTGCCGCCCCATTGCATTCCTCTGTCCTACTCGCTTCTCTTGCCGGTGGTTTCATGCATCCTGGATTTGTCCCAACTGTGCTTCATCACTGTCCAACTCAGGCTCCCAGCACAGCTGTGTCTCAGCTTGAGTGCGCATAGAGGGGCCAGGCTCCTTGTCCGACTGTAAGTCTTAGAGCTCCTCAGAGTCTTCCTCTGACTCCAATGTCACTCCAGGCCCCTTCTCCTCATCTGATTCCTCAGACTCAGCTGCCGGATCCACTGGCTGATGAGGAATCACAACAGCACCTATACATGCCCAGTTACTCCTTATATCTGGATTAGAGCCACCATACGCAACTTTCAATATAGCTAGCAAAAATATACAGAGCTTGATGTTTATTTATTTAGCAGAATAGTCTTTGGTTATTTAAACTTTAACCCTTTTGTGTATATCATGACAGCAGAGTGGAGATAGAATGTAGGATGTTAGGTCCTACTTCTGTACAGGTAGTCGTCGACTTACAACAATTCATTTAATGACCATTCAAAGTTACAACAGCACTGAAAAAGTGACTTATAACCATTTTTCATAGTTACCTTTGCAGCATCTGCATGATCATATGATCAAACTTCAGATGCTTGCCAACTGGTTCATACTTATGACAGTTGCAGTGTCCCAAGGTCATGTGATCACTTTTTGTAATCTTCTGACAAGGAAAAGTCAATGGGGAAGCCAGATTCACTTAACGTCTGTGTTACTCACTTATCAACTGCAGTGATTCATTTAACAACTGTGGCAAGAAATGCCATAAAATGGGGCAAAATTCATTTATTATATGTCTCATTTAACAACAGAAATTTTGGGCTCAATTGTGATTGTAAGTTGAGGACTACCTATATTTCTACTACTCCTCTGTTCTCAACAATTTGATGAACAGAAACGATATATACTGTGATGAAGACTTTTCCTTCAACAACTCTATACAACATAGCTCACATACAATTAGTAATACACTCATGATTTATTTCCCAGGGCCTAAGCCAGTTGTTTTATTAGTACATGGTTTGCTGTTTGAAGGGAGATGTTGGATTGCAAATCTTCCCAGCAATAGTCTGGGATTTTTTCTATCAGATGCTGGATATGATGTCTGGATAATAAATATCAGAGGGACCACATGGTCTAGAAGACACCAGAAATTTTCAATTGACCAGCAAGAATTCTGGGAATTCAGGTAAATCCAAGAGAAAATACATAGGAACAATGGATAGTAAATGTTAAGAAGATACATACTTACGTATCTATGAACAAATTTGACTGAATTATGGAATTATGAACAATATATACTGAAAGCATGGTATGAATGTTTTTTGTGGCACATCTAATACAAAGTTTTCAGTATTAGAACTTAATTTTGTTTTGAAAATTGTATATATTCCAGTACTGGATTTTTTTAGCATAAAATATAGACTTTAAGTGCAAATTATCAAGAATTAAAAGTTGTGTGTATATGTTCAAGAGGATGTATTATATCATCATTTTACAATACTTCCTGTAGGAAAGCACCACATAGTGGTTTAGAAAATATGCAATGCATAATAAACCCAATAAGATAAAATAATTTAGAAATTTAAGACATTAAAAATGAAGATGGGAAAGTAAAAGTAAAAGAAATTGAAAAGCACTCATCCAATGTTCATTAAGCCTGAATGAAGTCTATGGTAGGTGCCTAAAAGAGCCTAATGAACTTCATAGGACAGAACATTCCAAAGTGTAGGTTGCCACGACAGAAAAATCTAGCCTGCAACCAGTGGTGGAATTCAAATATATGACCAACGGGTTCTCTGTGTGGATGCCGCTTCCGGAAGTCCATTCTGGGCCTGAGTAACAAAAAATTAGCTACCGGTTCTGCCAAAGTGGTGCAAACTGGCTGAATCCCACCACTGCCTGCAACTAAATGATATTCTGTAGTTCTGGGCACAATTAGCAATATTACACCTACCCATTTTGATATCAAGCAGGAGAAAACAATATTTGGGTGTTATGTTTAGGGCATTATATCTCATAAATGTAATCTATCTTAATTGGCAGCCAGATGAAATGCTTCAGTAAAGATTTATTATGTTATAACCAAGCCTCTCACATCAAAACCTGTTTGCCACATTTCTTCCTCCATCTCAAAAGAAAAAAAAATGATCTCCTAAAATCTCCATAATTTCAACAATCAATAATTTTGCTACAGATTAGGGTGGGCTCCCTCAAAAGGCAGGCCACCCTCCTCTCTGCATTCTGAAATAAATTCTAAATTGAACATTTGCTTCACTTATAGGGGCATGGTAGCTATGAAATCCAAGGCTGGTCCTTGTTCAACAACAATATGCCAAATTAAAGCCTTCAAGCTACATTAATTCTGAATTTTAGGTTTATTTTGGGATGACACTAAGGGACAGAGAAACTCTATCCTCCCAGCATTCTACTTGCTGGTCTGATACTGCATTGAGAAACCAAATAGCAGAACTAGATGAAAATCAACCTAGCTTATCCTTCATCCAAGTTTCTATAATAGTTAGAAATTCTGTTTATATAGCTTTATAGAACAAACAAGGTGCACAGTCATCATGTGCTTTACTGCTTAATTGTAACAGGAAATAGGAAAATTTTCTCAGAACAAAAAGACAGAGTATATGCCATAGATGAAAACCTATAAACACTGCCATCTATTGGTTGGCTGTAGTTGTTGCAATGTATTCCAACAATAATACCTATAATATTTTTAGGACAACTTTCTCTTTTACAATCAAGATCAATGAAATAGAGTTAACCGTGAACTGAACAGGTATAACAGCCACTTCAACTGAAAGGATGGATCAGAAATCATGCCACTAAAAACTTGCCTAGATTTTTGATGTCCTACTGTTTCATACTCTCGCTTCCCTCTTTTTCCTGAGTTAGAATTAAGATAACACCATTCCAAAATCAATAAAAGAAAGGAATATGAGACTTTTTGTAAATAACTATTATTTTCCATGACTATTTGACATGTTTGCACGGATATTCACTGAATAAAAGGAGCAGTACTGTTTTCTAAGATCCTTCTTTGCAATAATAAGTTATTTTAAAAATATAAGAAGCTGAATTTAGGATAAGTGAGTAACAATGAGTATCTTAGCACCTTGGATTTACCAAAGAAGACACAAAAGAAGGAAAAGAATACAGGTAATGTTTTAAAAACAGTTCTTTAAAGGATCAGATATGTGTGTTAGTCCCTCATCAAACTGCAGATACTATTCTCCATGCCACACAAATGAGGCACAATCATGTCCCATTGTAAGCACTTTTTATATGATGTGTCACCATGATATTGCCTTTGTCTCATACAAACCCATGAATGAATCAGTTAAAATTTGTCTTCAGCTTCTCCAGTATTAATGCTTTTGTTTCCTTCTCCTGCCACAATTTTTTGCTATGGATATAGTCCAACATATTTCATCAACTGATCTGCCAAGCTTCAACTGAACGCTTTAGGCTGCTCTGAGGACCTCTCTATTCTGGTTGCAGGACTCCTAGCTTCAAGGGGTGATGGGGTGTAGAATTGACTGAGTGCTTGGCTTTAATTGACATCTCCATTTTCCAGAGTGCCTATTCTACTAGCCCTTCTCTCTCTCTCTCTGGCTTTAGGTAGAGAGAAATTGCAGTTCTGTCCTAAGATCCAGAGAAGATAAGATAAGTGAGCAGGATCATCACTGACTTTTATTTGTGTGCATATGTCTCTTTGTTAACAGTTTTCATGAAATGGCCATATATGATATCCCAGCAACTATAGCATTCATTTTGCAGAAAACAAAGCAAAGTAGTTTATATTACTTTGGCCATGCCCAGGGAGGAACAATAGGTAAGTTAAAAATGGACATATGTATTCTTTCCATAATTTGATAAAGAGTATTAAAAATACAGTCTTTTCTATTTTTAAGCAAGCTTGAAGATTAAGCAGAAGACAATGCTGTTTTGTTTTTGTCTCTATTATCCTATACACAGATTTCTATTGATCTTGTTTTGGAGGTTTCAGAAACTAGATTGTTAAGGACCTATTTTGAGGGTGTTTTTTAACACTTTAAAAGTGTTATTTCACACATGGTGGAGTTAAGATCTATAGATTTACAATCAGATTGCCCTAGTTACATAATTTGCATGTGTCTCAACTCAGCTGAGTACTTTGCTCAAGTGAATTACCCAAGTTACAAAATCAGAGCCAAGCCACTTAGATTTACTGCTCTTGTTTGACAGAAATGCCTTTTGTGCAAGCATTGCTTCTATGTCAGTGGTTCTCAACCTTTCTAATGCCGTGACCCCATAATACAGTTCCCCATGTTGTGGTGACCCCCAAGTGGGTGTGGCCACCAATAAGAGGGAGTAGGACAGCTAGGGAAAAGGGAAAAAATGGCGGACAGCGTGGTTTGGCGACCCTCGTGAAATGGTCGTTCGACCCCAAATGGGGTCCCGACCCACAGGTTGAGAACCACTGTTCTATGTAGTAGCTACTTCTGATGAAGTGAAGGGAAACATTGCAGCTTCTACCATTTGGAAGAGGGCAGTGAAATCTTTCTTAGAGAAACTTCAAAGCTGGCCCTTTGAAGTCATAATGTAGAATTCTGTGAGTGAATGTCATACCTCATTCCACCCTACCATTAGTTTTTCTCTAAGGTTTTTTTCTTCATTTGTTAGTCTTTAGAATCGTGCCCCTACAAATTCAGTTGACATTTCTTCTAAGCCGTGTTTTTTTTTATTATTCTTGCTTAGTTCTTAGAGTGTAGCTATCCGTGCATGATGTGACATGGGGTTTTCAAGTTTGAAATGGAGTGATTTGCCCAAGGTCTCTAGCTGACATCTGTAGCTAAGGGAAGATTAGATTCTTTCTACACCTATTCCAGCACCTTAACCCCACATCAGACTGGGTCTCAAAAGGAATGTTAGCATTTCCTTGAGTAACATGAACTCATCTTTTAAATTTACTGGCAGAGTAATCATATTCTTCCCTTATAAATGCAGTCTTGCTTTAAACTGGATTATTAAGGTGACATCTTACTTGTCATGCAAAAGGGTGTTCACTTTGTGTTTCAGTAGTTTGAAAATGAATGATGTTCCAACTATTCACCCTGTTCTTATATTTACATGTGTGAAGGGGGGGGGGGAATAATAACACTGAGATGGAAAGAAGGAAGAATGTCTTTAGATATTCAGGAGTTTGGTATCACCTTTTCAAACTGAGAGATTAAAAAGCATGAGCTTTGTCAGCTGAAACTCATTTCATCAGATGCAAAGAGTGCCCAGACTGATGTTGAATTTAAATTGGCATGAGGTTGGGAGGGGCAAGGAAGAAGAATATACTATAGGTTGGTTATCTAGATGTGAAACATATTACAATCTCCCTTTTTTAAAAAATAAATTTTATTAGTTTATAGTATACAATACAAAGAAAATACAAAAGTAAATAGTAGGAAGAATAGGGAAGAGGAAGGGGAATAGAAAAGTGGGGGAAGGGGAGAGGAAAAAAGAAAAAAAAGCATTGACTTTCGACTTCCTTTGGTGCAGTAAAATAGAATATCAACATCAAACCTCAACTTTTTACTTTTACAAAATAGTATAAGCTAGCCATTTCGATAACAACAAATCTATCTAATCAGTAAGGCCCAAAATCAAAATTTCATTTTTTTTCCACCTCAAGCACAAAATCCAGAAGCGGTTTCCATATAACAGTAAAAGTATTTGTAGTTTTTTCTTTAATCAAAACAGTCAATTTAGCCATCTCTGTGAGTTCCATAAGTTATTGCAGCCATTCCTCCATTGTGGGAATCGATGTACCGGTAGTCTTCCATTTCTGAGCATAGAGTAATCTTGCTGCTGTCAACATATATAACATCACATTTCCAATTTTTTTCCAGATCTTTGTCTATTAGCCCCAAGAGAAAAGTCTCTGGTTTTCTTTCTATATTCATTTTAAGAATTTTCTGTATTAACATATGAATCCTACTCCAATATTTTTTTTTGCTTTATCACACATCCACCATTTACATTTCCAACATTCATTTGAAATGCCTTCATACATTCTTAATAACTTATCTAGTGTTAAATACCAATGATACATCATCTTGTAAAATTTTCTTTTAAGTTATAGTTTAATGTAAATTTTAATCCTTTATTCCACATATTCTTCCATTGTTCAAGCATTACATTATAACCAATGTTCTTTGCCCACTGAATCATACAGTGCTTTACTTGTTCATTTTCCATATTTAAATTCAATAACATTTTATAAATTTTAGCAATAATATGTCATGGAAATGAGTTGGATTTACAATTCATTTTTAACAAAGCTAAACCTGTTATGTATTGATATTAAGAGTTGATGTGTTTTGGTTTAAATGTGTCTCCAACCATTTTGGAGGGAAAGTTAAGTTTAAGTTAACTTTTTGATTTGGTTGGTTGCTGCCTAGAGGCGGCAAGTATAAATAGCCGTCATTCTGCCGGTTAAGCCAGTTCTGTTCCTGTTGAATAAAATCACGTTGTATTAAACCGGTCTATTCAATGCCTCCGAAACCCACTATGCAACAGTGGCAATGAAGGTGGGATCTTGCTGGAGGAATGAATTATGCCTATTAGAATTGAAGTCACAGGATGTTAGCCCAAGCACCAGAGCCCTGGTGGGACCATGTCCTCACCTTGCCTGCCAGTAAGCCAAACTGCACAGCATCCTGAGGGATCCATCCCCAGGATCTAGGCTGTTCATCTCCTATTGCAGCAAGAGAGGCAGCATCCAAGACCTCACTAAAATTCTACCATGGCCAAGCTGGGCAGCTGAACGAATTCAATGTCTCCCATCCAGAACAGTGGAGTTCTTACATCTCCAGGGTGGACAACTACTTGTGGGCCAACCAGGTTAGAAAAGATGGCTTGAAAGCAGCTACTCTACTCTGCACATGTGGACAGGCTACGTTCGACATCGCCAAGAATCTTGTAGCACCAGCCAGCATCGAATCAGTAACCTATGGAGACTTAAAGAGGAGGCTCAAGGAGCACTTCGAGCCAAAGCTGTCTGTCATCGCTTGGCGTCATGGGTTCAAACAACAGCAACAAAAGTCAGGAGAATCAGTAACTGAGTTCGTGGCAGTGCTGTGTCAGGCTTCACACAACTGTGAGTTCCCTGACTTGGAAGATTGTCTAAGAGACAGACTCATGTGTGGACTGTTGAACAGAGAGTTGCAACAGCACCTATTTGCGAAGGAGAATCTGACCTTCCAAGACACTCTGAAGGAAGTCATGGCAGAAGAGGCTGCTGCAGAGCAGTGAAGGCTCTCTGGTCTCAGAAAAAACATTTCAGCCCTGCAGCAATACATCAGGAGACCACTGAGAGACTGAGTGAACCATAATAAGTCAATGAGATCAACCAGCTGCAGAGAGAGCCTATGAGATGGCATCACACAGTAGAACACACAATCCTCCCTCTAAACTGTGTTAGCTGTGGAGGATAACATAAAAGAACTGAATGCAGCCATGTGCCAAGCTGTGGAAAGCAAGGTCACATTGCCAGGGTCTGTAGAAGTCGCCAGAAAGAAGCTAACCCTGCAGATGTACCGCAGAAAGGTAGATGGACCCCGGGACAGAACAGGTTTGGAACTGTTCAGGGAGGAGGAGTATTCAGCGGACAGGAGCCCAATGTTCCCTCAAAGAGAAGTTGAGACTTGAAGTTAACCTTCAACGGGTCCCATGTTCAATGGAGCTAGACACTGGGTTAGCTCTATCTATCATTTCATACAGGACCTTCGAGTATATTTGTAGACAAGGCAAGAGGTGAGTTCAGATCAAACCGTCAAGTCTCATCCTAACTGATTTTCAAAATTCCCATATGGCTGTTAGGAGTGAAGCCACTGTAATGGTCAAATTCAAAGACTTTGAGGGTCCCCTCAGTGTGGTAGTCATTGATGGTCAGCACACCAGCCTCAGATTGGACTGGTTCGAAGCCCTGGGCATCCATGTAATGGGCATCCATCACACACAAGCAGATTACCTTGGCAGTATGCCAAGAGTGTGCTGATGTGTTCAATTCTGACAATACAGAATTCTGACAATACAGAGGGGCACCCATTTCCCTAAATCTGGACCTGACAGTTACCCCAATTAGAATTAAACCACGCTGAGTGCCTTTCTCTTTAAAACCAAAAATTGATGCAGAGCTGGACAAACTAGTGCAACAGGGAGTGCTCCAAACCGTGGACAATAGCCTGTGGGAGATTCCCATAGTGACCTCAGTAAAGCTGAATGGGGACATCTGCATCTGTGCAGACTACAAGTGCACAATTAACAAGGCACTTCAGCAGCATGCTTACCCAGTTCCAGTGGTAAGCAACATTCTAGCCTCGCTCCAAGGAGGCCGTCTGTTTGCCAAGCTAGACCTTGCACAAGCATACCAACAGCTGCCAGTAGATGATGCTACAGCAAAAGCACAGACCATTGTCACCCACAGAGGGGCATTCCGAGTACGCCGCCTGCAGTTTGGGGTAAGTGTAGCCCCCGGCTTGTTTCAAAGCATTATGGAAAGGACACTAAAAAATATACCTGGCATCTGCCCCTATTTTGATGATGTCCTAATTGCAGGAGAGTCAGCTGCAGTCCGAGCAGAATGACTTAGGGCAGTGCTTCAAAAGTTCCGTGAGGCAGGACTTAAATTAAAAAAGGACAAGTGCTGACTTCCGGTTTCGGATTGCGGTGTTTGCAGCCATGCGAAGAGACTGCTCTCTTCGCCGGCGTTTCTCTGCTGCCAGTCGATTGGGTCGAAAAGTCACCCTGGAGGGGCGGCTACTATTGAGGAGGCCCTCATTGACCGTGGGAGAGTGGCAG